GGCATTACAGCTGAGATTGATAATGAAAACCCCTGGACGGTAACTTCTTTAAGTAGTACAGCTGTTTCCAGATAGCCATCTGTCTGTGCCCCCCGGCTATTTTATGTATGGATACTCTTAAATTAACTTAGCAGGGCTCAGTTAAATCATTACAGAAACAATTTCATAATATTGCAAGCTAATGTGATATAAACAATAAGAATTAGCACCGGTTTAAGAAAAAAATTGAAAAGAAGCAATTTTACAACATACTTTGAAGTGGTGGAACAGCTGTGTCCTATAGTCCTAAAATAATTAATCTGATGACAGGAAAGCTCTGTGAGGGTGATTAAAAGGAAATTTGTTTTTCCTTCTGAAATAATTGGTAAAGAAGGCAAAGGAAATCTTACCACTGCATTACTCTCCAAAACAACCTAAGTACAGTTTATAGAAAAATTCACTTTCTTCAGGGACAATTCTTTGAATGAATCCAGCTGCCAAATGGCACAGGCCACTTCCCCTCTCCCCACTTTTCTTACTACCAACATTTTGAAGATGGCTACATCTTATCTTCTGAAAACATACGCTGAATTTCAAAAAAAAAAGATCTACTTGTATCTTTTTTTAAAATAATATATATATTTTTCAAACCTAGACTCTTAATAAACCATAAGAAATAGGCTATGAAATCCCATAAAGACTTGAAGAAAATGTTGGTCACTACCAAAATTTTCTTTACATATAGTTACATCTGCTAGAAGACAAGCACTTATGTTGGATGGATTTTAATTATTTCTGTATACTGGTACTATTTTCTTTCATCTTCCAGCTCTAAGTTACTAAAATTAAGAATTTTCCATGCAAACAACCCACATATATGTACACACATACAGATGCATGTTTTTCCTATTGTTATGTACTCTTTTACTCCTCAGAATGAATTATTTTCAGCTATAAAATATCCCTTGAGCAATTGCATGGGTTGGTAAATGAAACCTGACATTTGTGGATTACAATTGCAATATAATATGAATAAATGTTTGGAAAATCTATGCAGCTCTCATAATAAATTTGCTATTACAAAAAAAAAAAATCATGACACTTCCCGTTTTCAGTATTTGTACTAAAACAAATACTGCACTGAATAAAATTCTTAATGTTCTGAACATTTCACAGTGAAGTGAAGCATTGACCAAAAAGTCCTGCATATAGCAAAGTGCAGACACAGAAAAGTGTGCCAGCTCATAACACTTTGCATTATATAATGATGAAATAGCGAGACAACCAAGGACGCCATGATAAATAAAGGAAGGTTTTGAACATGATGTCTTTTGAAAAATAACTCTTCTATGACAGCTTTAACTTTTCCTTTTCACAGATTTCATTGTGCGCAAATATTCCTAGCTGATACTTAACTGACTTTATTATTTAAAAAATTCTACGGCTGAGGCTACTGTAGACCATATTCAAACATAAGCCTTCACAGCTGAAATACAACAGGCAGGAACAGCTTTGATTGTGGTCCTTGCTGTTGGCACAGATGTGCAGAACCATAAGGGTGTTGTCATTCATTACTGTCTTTGTTAGTTCTGGGCTGCCTCTCAGAGTATCTAAATACCCCCTCAGAGGAATCTACTCCTATTTGTACTGGCACCAGCACTGTTATCAATGCAGGCCAGTCCTTATGCTAACAACAGTGAATACTGGGAAGGAGCACTGGAAGAATGTCATGCATTTTGGAGTGTATGCAGAACACCAACCAGTTCTGCCATCAGTGTTGGACAAGTAGGTTTCTCCATCTCACTGTCTAGTGAACTTAAGTTTTAATACATACACTATAAATCTTCACAATGAAAGCAGATTTCACTGGACATATTCCATTAAATAGCACCATACAGCTGAAGCTAGCCTGCAGGAGTCTCCATCCAGCTCACATTTTCCCTGGAGATCACAAAGAATGGCTGTTTGGGCAGGAAAACACTTCCAACAGGAAGCTGCTTTCCTCGCACTTGCAAACATGCAAACCACAGAACTATCCAGTGGCTGCTGCTGCTGTCACCATCTGTCAGTACAGGAAGAGCACAACTGGAGTCAGACCTCCCTCTGTGTAAGAGCTTTGTCTAACGTAGGTGAGCCAGGAGCAGTTGCTGAGGTTGTCCAGGCCCTGGGCATGGTGGACGCAGTATTACGTCCACCTTGCGTGACTCTTGCAGCTGCCAACATTAAATCACCTGGCGGTACCAGCCTGTGCATGTGACTGGCAGGTAAGCATTGCAGATGACAAGAGGAGGAGGCACAAAGAGGTAGCTTCTTAACATCTTACCTTGTACGACAGGATGACAGTTGCCACTGATTCATTTCGTATTAGATTTCGTATTAAATTTATTATTATGCAATTATGTAGATTACTTCAGAAATCCAGAGCAACAAGTTAAAACAGACACTTCCAGTACTGCCTGGAGTTTGCAAGTAGGTTTAAATACTCTTCCACTTCACACAATAGAGGAGAAATTGTGGTACAACAGCACCATGTATTAAGACATCTATTTGAAAGATTTATACTATAACTACTGCACCTTGTGTCCCTTAGAAACATCCAGTAGGAATACCTACTCACCCAGTTGTGATTGCAGAAATAGTTGGTATTTTACAGACCTCAGAATGCTTAACAGCAAACTCAACACTGAGTAACCACAACACTGCCCTGACTGGATCTCTTCATAACTAGTGCTATCCAACAGCTATACAAGTATAACTAGGAAACAATTGGAAAGAAGTTTAAGGAATCAAAGGCTTGTCAACAAGGAAGCTTGAAAATATAGAGACCTTACCCATTTACAATTTTGTGTTTGCTGGTATTATGAAAATGTAGCCCATCTGGAAGTGCCAGGATTTCACACACAAAAAAATCTAGCATTAGTTTAAAATGTTGTTATTAGCCCCAAGCGCCTATTACATTTATTTGATGTGAAGGAAAAAAAGACATCAAAATATGGAAAGCTGAAAACACGGCGCTACTTTGTAATTCCTGTTGTTACAACGATTGTTATTAGTGACATATTTTCCCCTTCACCTTTAGGCAAACTTTTCTACATAAGATTACAAGCACAAAGGGAAATGTTTGGAACTTTCATGTCATCCTTTTAAGCCTGATCTACTTGTGACTGGATAGATAGACTGGATGCACAATAAAAAGTGAAAGAATAATTGCAGTGCATTAGGTTAATGACCTGGCTGCTGTTAATTCCTTTGGCATTTACTGAGCATGGACTATTTTATAATTAAACTGCTTGGTAGAAAAGTTTCATTGTATCATTTATTAAAAAGCAGGACGATTTTGAAATTAGCAGTAGCCACAAAAGGTTTGACGACTAAAGTTACTGAAGAACTGCAAGACTAATTATATACAACAAGCCCTAATTGCTCCAGCAGTGATATTAATAAGTACTCTTTGTGTACGGACATCCTTACTGTAGTTTCTAAAACAAAGCATACAGTGAGAATGTCAAGCACTCAATTCCAGAATACCCTATTTTGTATCTGTGCATGAATACAATAACTTCACATAATTTAGAAGAAGAATTAGCTTGCATACAAAATAGTGAAAGAAACAACATTTGAATGAAGCCGCAGTTGGAAAAATTCCATGTCTCAGCTTGGACTTTAAATGTCTAGAAATTGGGCATGTTGCTCAAGAAGTCTAACCAAGAAAGCAGTGACAAGGCCTGGAGACGCAGTGAAGAGAAACAGCTCCAAACGCTAACCTACAAATATGCAGTGCTTCAGTAAAAATGCCTAGGTCATTTGACAACACTGAGACCAAAGGCAACGCGTTACGATGAAGCTGCCCAATTCCAGATTGCACATCAGCAATTTTCTGCTTCTTGAAATCCAGAGTTGATTTTTCTGGATAATTGGTATCTAACTGACCAGCTCTCAGTATTTTTAAAAACTTTCACAGAAAACTGATTCTAAACTCCCTTACCCTACAAGAATTCAAACGTAAATCTCTCTTTTCCCAGTGAAGCCCCACAAATTCAGAATTAGGCCATTGACCCTTTTGTGGTCTGACCTGAGGAGGTCTAATACTTGCCACTGACTGTTAGCTCCTACCAATCATCTGGAGGCTGGCATTTCTTCAGCTGTGAACAGTAACCAGCTATGAGAATACCACCTCAAATTCTGCTCCATTTAACCAAGCTGTGGGCTTCTGAAAGGGATTATCCCTCTCTCCCCCAGCTCACTTCCTCTGTTGTGGTACATACAGGGGTCACATGAAAACGATGTCGTAGGAAACTAACACTAAAACCTCTCACTGATCCAAAGCCATGGTGCACTTACACAACGGCTGAAATTGATGCAATAGATAGGGGGTGGGACAGCCCTTCTGGCAGGTCAGAATGAAGGACCAAACAATGGTGACTGGTAAAACAGAATTTTCCCTCTCAAGAGCTCATGAGCCATATAGCTGAACGACCTCTTCTACTGACTTGTAATTCACATCCCTACGTGTAGTATCACATATGAGTCCAGCCACAGAGGTTCTTAAAGCAACCTGGCCTCATATCCCTCAGCAAATACTGTAAGAACAGTACAGGCCAACTTCTGTTATAAACAACTAGAGGAAAATGCCAGTAGAACATTTACCAGATAGAAACACTGCAGTTCAGAAAAACTACAACACAACCTGTCTGATAAAAAACAGTACTCGAATGTTGCATACCTGGTAGAATTTTAATCCTGCCTAGCAAATACTGTGCCACCACATCACCATAGTCCCGTGAAGTTACTGAGCTTTGGCCCAGTATCATACTTTCCATTGGCACTTTCCGCTAGACAAGCAACTAACTTACATAGTAACTGTAAAGACATACCAGGCGTTTCCGCCAGACATTGCCTTCTTTTGTCACTCATGATCAGTGTTCCACTGTGTGTCTTATTTCTTAATACAACTTGAAGTATAACAATTAAACATTTAATGTAAAAAAAAAAAAATCATTACAGTAATTTAATCCACTTACCTTTGTCTTCCTGCTCAGTCCAGAATTCTTCCACTCTTTCCGAAATGTGTTCTTCCTCTCTGAACTGCTTTTGCCACTGACGTAGCTCTTGTACTTCCTTATCACAGCGGACCTGGAAAAGGAAAACAGAATATGCAACTAAAATTATGTACATTTGTGTTACCCAGGATGACAAGAGGTATGACGAGGTATTTTTTCTGTGGCTAGGCAAATATGTGACATACGTCCTTTTTGCAGTGCTTGATATAAAAGTGTGATCCCAGAGGTTTACAGTTTTCAGCTTAAACAGAAATAAAAGCCACATAATTGACAAAGTCCTTTGAAAACATAAATATGCCAATTAGGGGATCATTTTGATTACCAAGGACTCCTGAGAATGTGATTGCAGTGAGACACTCATTCTTTGAGTTAATTAAAATTTAAAGCATTATAGTGAAGGGTATTAGTGCCTTTAGAAAACCACAACACTATAAAACCAGCCCATTGACCAACATAATAGAACAGAAGAGGCACATGAAGGGTCATACAGCAGGAAATTTATTCCAGCAAATTGATTCACACCTGCTACCAGCTGCAAATAGGCTTACTGACAATCTCAGCCACAGAATTTTCACAAACAGGAGAGCCATTAATCTGTTATTTAAAGTAATTGGAATGCATTACATGGTATCCATTCTTTGGCAATCACCCCTATGAAGAGCCTAATCCTGCTTCCATATAAAATGACAATAGTCACAAGCCTTGTCCCCATTTAAGTTGAATTCCTCTTTTATTGCTTTTGTACTGGTATGGATTCTACTAACATAAGAAAGAACTTAGCTTTTACCAGTCTACTTAAACTTGCTCTAAGCAAGACTGGATTAAATAGCAGTATGTTGCCTGTCATATACCTTGGCATTCACACAATTACTATCTCCAGCGTTGGAGCAAAAATGCAGAAGAGATACCATCCCTTGGACAACAGCAGGAAGGGGACATGCTAGTATTTGCTTAAACAATGGGAAGTGTTTATTCTCTTAGAGTCACATTCAAATTATAATAACATTATTTAAAATGGAGTTTCTGTGTGTTTTTTTTTTCTTCTAATTGTTACATAGATGAAATACCATTACGTTTTAGGACTTAACGTCCTAGTTATTCAGGCTGAAATTGAGTAACATGGTCGAAACAAGCAGCAATAAGCTTGGTTTCTCCTAGACATGTTTCTACTTTCATGAAGCTGACTACTTAAATTTTCTAGTGACTTTCTTACATTTATTTTATTCTTACATGACATGGTAATGAGTTTGCTGTGTGATTTGAACACTATTACTCTACTCCATTACATCCCACTTTTCCCATGCTTTCCTGAAATGCACACAGTGCAAAAGAGGATGCAGTTTTCCACTTGTTAAAAACATCAATCAAAACAATATAAATTATTTAGCAAAAGTATTCTTTCCACACAGAATTTCTCCTTTGTGGTGCAACCATGAAAGCAACTGACAGCAAATGTACTCCAAGAGCAGTTTTCAATCCAATTTTAAGAAGATAACTTGCCATATTTCAGATATATATTTCAGTGCATTGACAGAGCAGAAATACAATGCAAGGTTATAGGATCAATACAGACAGGGAAGACTTTTACTTAGTGACTTGACATCAGATACCTCTCAGGCCTCTTAAAATATCCCATTATACTAATACAGGTATGTATTATCTTCTAGAAAAGATATATTTAGTTCTTTCAAGGTAAATATAAAATTTCAAAAATTAATAACAAACCAACATTAATTTAATGTTACTAGCTAAAAAAAATCAAATTATTTTTTAATTAAAACCATCAAATAATGTTTCAAAAAAATACAATATATTAATATCTTAAAATACTGCAAGGTCCAATATCAAAACCAAGTAGTGAACATGAGCTCCCAGATTTTTAGAAATGTGTAAGAAAAAGGAATGCAAATCTGTCACTTTCAGTAAAACAGGTGATAGGAACTTAACAGAATCCTATCCACGCATTCCAAATATTCTTAACAAACTCTAATTTAGCATAGCTCTGATAATTTAGCAGAAAGTAGCCTCTATTTTGTAAATCAGAGTACAATTCTAGCACAATTAAAAAGCCATGACTCATCAACCAAATCTCAGGTAAGTAATCTAAGGTTCAAATCTTGTCCAAACAACTGATGACTCTCCTGCAGATCAACAAAGCATGAAGCACTAAAGGAGTCTAACAAAGAACTGAGAGAAATAATGTGTCTCTTTAAAAACCCAAGTCACCTGACTGAATCTACACTTGCTGTTAAGAATGGCAAATATTTGCGTGACCTTCTGGGCTTGAGCCTTTGCTAGTCACCACACCTTGCTGGAAAGGAAAATAAATTATGACAGCAAAAGCACGAGAACACTTCGTAAGATATAAAGATAAACCTACTTCATTTTGGATTTAATTTTTGCTCAAACAATATTTATACACAAAAGAGCACTGAATATTTTTGTAATGCTGTCCAGTCTAAGCTCCATAATATTACAAGATTTACATAGTCAAAATACACTGTGTTCAATGCTAGGCAAGAATATGTCACAACATATTCTTGTATATAAGAAAGGATAGGACCATGGAAGGATAACACTAAAGCTTTGGACAGAATCATTAGAGAAAATTCTATTAATGAAAAATTCCTTCTGCCTAGAATAGTTACGCAAATTGTAAATATTAAAAAGACCCCAGAGAATAAATGGCACTAAGCACAGATTCAGCAGTAGAAGAGTGAAGAAATACATTTTCTTGAATTGGAGAAGTGCCTGGAAAATTGATATCTACCAATCAAGGGTTTTCATCAGATATTGGAGTACTGCCTTGGCCCATGACAGATGAATGGAACATCAGTAAAAGAGGATGTGAGAAGTAAAGAGAAAAATCTGATGAAAGAGCTGTCAAAAGCCTTATTCCAGCTGTTCTTTCTTGCCTCAAAGAGACCTCTCAAGATGACATCTTCCCTTCTGATCTCCTCAGAGTACTATGCCAGACTGTTCTTGTGTCTCATATATACACATGCAACAAATGACATTATCATTACTCCTTTGGACTACAGTGGCTACCCAATATTATGTTATTTAGTCCTGGAACTTCAAGACAGTTTCTGCCAGGGATGGGAAACAGATAATTTTAATTAAAGTTTCTTTGGAGCAAGCCTTTGTATTTGTAAATCAAGCACAAGATTTCCACAATCACAATGGACGTGGCAACAGCAAATTGCCTTTTTGCTCAAAAACCCCTACACCTTTCTTTATGACAAGTTCGACACCCAGAAACCTTTCCCGTTAGGGTCACACAACAGCTACTACCACTTCTTGGTAGCTTTCTTCTGCTTAGGTCCTATATAACATTCTGCAATCTAATTAGTTTTCTCCTTTTTACCAGAAAATGGTTATAAAAGTAATTGGATTGCTGTTTGTGTTTCAGAGTGCAGCCTAATGCTTCTGTAGCTAACACTGCTTTTTATTATGGGATTTAATTCTTGATTAAACTTGAAATAAGTACTCATAAATGTCTTTGTATGAAAGATTCTAGCAAAGGCTTTGTGGATGACAGCCATTAATTATTATTACCACAACAAGTATTTTTCTGAAACCTGCTTCAGATAAGGAGGTATGTACACTTTTAATTAACTTTTTATTATCAGAAAGTGCTCGATATCCTATACCTATGTTTTTTTTTTTTTCTTCACATAAAAAAATCCTTACTGCCTGACACCTTGTTTTTGCTGAATCTCCTGTGGTTTTGATACTGGCACATGCAGACAGCTACATGTGGCAGAAACAAGTGAAATATCCATGCAAAGATGCAATGCTCTGTCAGTTGTATGACTAAATAAAGTCTACTGCCTAGATCAATACGGCTAACAAAGTATCTCAAAAATGGAGATTCCATACAAGATGTGTCAGTGAAAAATTATCAGCTGTGGTTTCTCACACTTTATATGACATCATTTAAGAATAAAATAAAATAAAATAAATTACAAGGTTCATGTCTGAGATACTTCTTTTAAAAGCATATCATCTGAAATATTTTCTATTTTTTCAGAATCTACTTTATCATTACTGTGATGAATTCTCATTTAAATCAAAAATAACATGTCACCCTGTGTAATAACTTGTTACTAATGATTTTGACTTTATATTCTGATTTTAATGTTAATTTTTAAAAGCCCAAGTTCTTTGAGCTATAAGAAGCTAAAACATGTAACAGCTAATTTCATAGTCTGAGTTATTTTCTCTGGCTTCTGCTTTTTAAAGCTATAGTTACCCTCTCATTTCTAGGAACTGGTTTAAAATTTTCACCATAGTATTTATCATTCTAAATTTAACACAGTGAGAAGGGACAGTGCCTTTTGGAACCTTTGGTTGAAGCACGAGGTATCTGAGCAACCTTGCACTGCTCAGCTCTAATGGAACTGTTACTGGATGTTTGCCTTTGCAATAATCCACTGTGAGGATGCCTGCAGTGATATTGTCAATGCTAATTAATGTTAGTGTCATCATCTCTGTTCAGAAAAAAACAAAAAATCAAGGAAAATGAAAAACAGCAAGTGTCATAAAAATCTATCAGTCAAGAAGATCAGGATTATTTCGTCATCTTTGTCTGCCTGGCACATTAGAGTAGCAACTCTTATGTACTCATGCTTGTTAAAATAGTAAAGAACTTAACAGAGAATGTTTTGTTCTGATCGTGATTTAAAGAACACCTGATGTAGAGACAGAGATACCTTACTGTCCAACACAATGAAACTAATGCTATAGCTGAAGGCTTTTTACAACCTTAAATTTTGAAAAAGGCAGTCAAAGACGCTTCTTTTGTCACATGGATTTTAAGTCCATTTTTTCGCAAAGCATGAAGGTGTTAGAGCCTTTCAAAGAAAGACTTCCAGAATCTTTTCAGCATTTTCAAAATCATTTAGATCCTACCCTAGGCTTAGCACTGCTGTCGCACTCCAAAATAGTAGTATGAGCCAATCTTCTTCATAATTAATTTATGTTCATCTCTTTTCCCCCTTAAATTGGAGACTGCATTAGTGCTATATTACTAGTATGGCTTGCCATACCTGCTTACCATTTTGTTTTTCCTTTCCTTGAATAACAGCCTTCATTCCTTTCCTGTATCTCCTGTCTTGTTCTTTGTCTCATTTTTATCTTTATTTCTATATGCTTCTATTTCTGTACAGACCTCACCAGTCCTCTTTGTGTACCTCTACACTCACTTAAATATCCCTGAATGAAGCCAAGTAACACTTTAGCAACTAGCCAAAGATCAACTCATAAAAAAAATAATATTCCAACCTTCAGTGGATTTTATGAGGAAAACGGGGCGATTACATCAGCATAAATGCCTGTGAAGAAATTGTAGTCACCAGGCATAAGGCATAGCAACATCCAAAGCCAATGAACCATGAGGGTCTCAACAGCTATTTATAGTATCCCCTACTTAAAATTTATGTAAGGATTTTCCCTACGGCCTTCACAGTCCTACAAATTCAACATCAAGCAAAGTAATTATAGATTACTCTTACCCGATAACCTCTCCAGAACGACTGAATTATTATGCATGCTTCTTCTTCTGATAGGTGGAGAGACAGAGGCATTGGTCGTCTAGGACTAAAAAAGTAAAAAATACATTTAAAAAAAATAAGATTTTGTAAAAGACAGCCCTTACAAGTAAATGACTTTCTTCTTTAGCAATATATTTTACAAAAAAAGAGAAAGGTTGTTCAGGTGCTTGAAAGTTAAAATATCTTATTGCTTTGAGATACTGAGATAAAAGGTGCAAAGAATACCTCCTTTAAAAATATATCTTTTGTACACTACAATCACTTCTTCCATAAAACAGTAATATACAAATAGCATATCAAATGCAGTAATCTTTCTTGCTCTTCTACATGGATTTTAAATTCCTACCACTATGGTAGAGTTTGGGGTGGTGGTGGGAAGGGAGTGAGAGACAGAGACATGCCATTTGTAAAACAGAGAAGGTTCTAATGTGCATGCAACAATGAACAAATTTATCACATAAATGTATATAACTTAATTATTAAAGTCGTACAACGTAAATATTTTTTAGTCCATTCAGCTACCCTATAATTTCAGTTAAAAGTGAAATGTACTGAAAAATGAAAAAAAAAGATAATTGTGTAGGCATAAACATGCTTCCATGCTCAGAAACATCTAAAGGATCTCTTAAAAGGCTGAAATTTTACTTTTGATAATGTATACACATCACTTGGTGATAAAAGAAAGGAACAGATATGTAAAGTTAACAATTTTCAGCCACAATATACAGTAATTGAGAGCATTTCTGGTGATTCTGTTGCAGCTATTTTTAATGAGAAACTATAATTACATTTCAGCCATCGCTAACAAAAATTCAAATCACAGTATCAAGCCGTGCTTTGCAAAAAAACATTTTCTATGGATGTTAATTTATTTCTCACATACATTGATCAAAACACATCTATCTGGAAGAGGAAATTACATTAATTTATATGGATTTCTTTTATAATGAATATAATATATAGTCTTTAAAGCCAATAGAGAAATATAGAGCAGTAATGTTACTATTTATGAAAACACCATTTATAAGCTGTAGGCTTGGCACAATGTTAGAATGGTGCCACTCTCCCTGCATGGGACACGGACTGATCACAGCTTTGACTTGGAAGACCACAACATGAGTTTGGACTCAGCAATCACTTGGATTTAACTACCAAATATGTTTTTATCAGTATTGGTCTTAAAATATGCCTACTTGAACAAAACTAGTGACATATGCAAACTCTGAAGGAATATTATTTATAATATTTATATAATAAAGACGCATATCCTACAAAGACCACAGATAAACAAGCTATTCATCCAGTTCTGCAGTTACTGGCTAAAGCATTACTTCTTCTGTTTCTTTAGGAAATATAAGTATATTCCAGCTAAGGCTAGGAGGCTTGACAGCTTACATTTTCCTTTCACTTAATTTAATTTCTATTAGTCTCTGCCCTAGTAAGCTTCCAATGCTCTCCAAGGCCTTTCTCTTAGGGCTTGTCTTCACTGAAGGAACACTTCAACTTTGAGCACAATCTTAACTGTTATCTAGCGCTCTACTGACTACACCGTTTGAGTCAGTACACTCAGCTAAATTGGTCTCATCGTCATGTCAGCTGGGTTTTGGCCTACATTTATTTCAATGTGAAAGAAAAACTCAGTCTGTTTGGAAGAGTGGAAATAAGGCAAAAATAAAAAGAGGTCCTTCCATTAAGCTAAACAGTTTTAGTTCTGTGAACATTAATTAGCATTTCTACCGCTCAAGGGAATTTATAAGTGCTAGATAAGCAAGGCTTCCTGAGCTAACTCCTTCTATAATCAGACTTAAAAATATGAAGTTGGACTGTGCTGGTTTGGCTGATAGGCTTTCATTCACTGTTCTATTTTTGATCTTTTTGAAAACCATATCTTAGAGTGTAAAAATCACAGGAAGACCTACATATTTTACAGCAGTTATTTCAAAGACACTGAACTTTCCTAAGAAGGAATACATCTGCAAGGCCAACTCTAGCATTGCATTGCTTTCATTTATAAATTATAAAAGTATGTAGTTCAGACTCCCACACTAAATTTGAGAAACCAATATAAAATCAAGCATAAAAAATGGGACTTAATTTTCAGTATGACATGCACTGGCAAATATCAATCATTTCAGCAGGGTGGCTTTAGAGAACAGAAGTCATGTCAGGTCCATTTTTATCTAAGAGAATATATGCAATTGGCTTCAGGTCAAATAAAAATAGAATCTGAGCAGAGGTAATCACCCATCAGCAGTGAACAAGGAAAAGAGGGAATATGTCACTTGTGGCAGAAGACAGCTGTATGACTCCAAGAAGATTAAAACTGACAGTAAAATGCACAGTAGCTATATTCTGCTTATTCGGTCTTTGATTATGCACACTCTTAAATGTCCACACACTAAACATTTTAATATCTATTTTGATATCTATCATATATTGAATAAAGTAAGTTGCACCTGTAAAAAAGTATCAATAACATGTTTTTTCTGAAGTATATATTTTGCCAAACTTAAATAAAGCAGGCACTGACCAGAGGACAGTTAAATGCCAATAAACGTTTCTTGCTTTCTGAGCAATCAAGATTTTACAGATCCTGATTATGTGCAATACTTACTAATTACAGTACATTATGCAGGTGGAATTTAGCACCCAGAAGAAATAAAAAAGGCTTGCATTAAATAGATGTATGAGGTACTGAAAGACGTTCTTACTGAAGGCACGAAGTATCCATAAAAATTCTCTTATCTTGGGCAGACTACAGTCGAAAAAAAAAAAAACAACATGAAGATGGACTAACCATACTAGTTCCTTTCCTGTTAAAACATGGTAACAAGAAACAAGTATACCGGCTCTGTGCCATAACTGACAGACAATTGCTGTTAGAGCAACACTAGAGTTATAAAGTCCCTTGGTTTGCTCAGCCCAGAGCAGGCCAAGGGTAGGCCTCATGGTGGCCTGCAGCTCCCTCACAAGGGGAGCGGAGGGGCAGGCGCTGAGCTCTGCTCTCTGGGGACAGTGACAGGCCCCAAGGGAATGGCATGGAGCTGGGACAGGGGAGGGTCAGGCTGGGGGTTAGGGAAAAGTTCTGCACCCAGTGAGTGATCAGGCCCTAGGACAGCTGCCCAGGGCAGTGGTCATGGCACCAAGCCTGACAGAGGTCAAGGAGCATTTGGACAACGCACTCAGACATAGGGTCTGATTTTGAGGTGGCCCTGTGTGGAGACAGGAGTTGGACTTGTGGGTCCCTTCCAACTCATGAAATTCTATGATTCTATGTGTGTCTCATCTTCTCCTGGAGAGAATCTGGGTTTCTCAATGAACTTTCAAGGAGGGGGAAGAACCCAGCAAAACAGACAAGGAACCTGCTCCTTTTTGTCAGCAAACAGGAGCAGGCTCACAGTCACACTGATGGACTCTGTATACAGTCAGTATGGTTGTGCAGCTAAGTCCAAAAACCTCAGTTGTCACTAATCTCCCATCTGTCCTACAGATAGGTCTAACTCCTTCCTTGAAAAGGAAATAAAAATAATAATAATAATAATCAAGGAAAAATTCACCATGTGTAATTCAGGATTTTGTAATTGCTCCTTTTTTTTTTTTTTTTTTTCTTTTTCCCCAATCCATTTCCTAACAGTAACAGAAAACCTCCAAATCAAACCACCAGTCTTGCAGCAAGGTGCCTGCAGGACCACTGTGCTAGCTACAGAGTGCCAGTACCTGTGACAGGACAGAGTGTAGGTGACAGTGAAGTACCCAGGTGCAGTCAATAAATGATGAGGGTTTTCTCTCTTTTCAGAAAGCTAGTCTCTTGAAATAATGAAGTAACCCTTCGCAACAAGCATCAGGCCCTCTGAGGCCTGGAAGTTTCAAGATGACAGCCCAAACCACTCCACCTTTAATTTGACTGTGATGGTTATTGTTCTTGAATATTTATATCATGTATGAACACATGCAATGACAGAGTCACTACAGAATTCATAATCTAAAAAGACAAAAGAACAGACCAAAGAATAGGGAGAAATACAAGACAGGCAAATAGATGAACATGGTGATCTGCTTAACTTTTAAAAAAGGATTCTGATAAAGTATTAGGTTTGGAAAGTACTTTTGATTGTTGGCCTAAACAATCAAAAGATTTTCTCTATAAATTTGTCAAAGTAGATTTCTTTTGAATTTCCAGTATTTCTTATTCCCACTCAGAGAATCTAGAAATATTATAGCCAAAAAAAAAATCTATAAATGTTTTTTTTTTAAAAAAAAGGTCTATAGAATCCCTTCTTATACATACTATTAAGTATGTGATATCTACCCAAAAAGCAGGAAGACTACTGCTGACAGAAAGTGAGACTGAAATACTGATTTATCTGACCTGGTATTTAAAAGCAATTAGATATATTAACCACATATTACAGTATCACTGCATGAGCCTCACAAGTTTCCAGGGAAAGATTCCTACAGACACTTGATAAAAATACTCCTGGAACATTTCCACAGGCCAAACTGAGTGTGAACTGAGACCTCTCTTAACATTATTAGTATTAACGCAACCACCTGACAGTCAGAAAGAAAACACTAACCACTGGTTTTCTTTTGCAGTAATCTAAACACACTATAATTAGAGAAAACATTTGAAGAAAAAAAATCCTCATTAAGAAAACATTTTTGTGCATTATATGAAGGGCATATTTCTGAAGGACTGTGAATGTGGGCATAACCCAATTTAACTTTCTGAAGAAAGGAAGTGCAAATGAGCAGACGTTTTGAAGTGTGACTCCTGCTAACTGTCTGAACTCTTCTCTATCACCTTCTCCAAGTAACAGTTCCTTGATGCTGTCAATAGCTAAATGAAGAATAAAAAAATAAAAACACACAATATTTTGACCCCTTTTGCCTGCTTCTGTTCTCTGAATCTTCCACGGCTTTGCTGGCTCATGCTTTTTACTTTGAAAACCCTCAAACATAAAGGCAATAGATTGTGAAGAAACAAACATTTCACTTTTAAATCATCTGTTTAATTGCTATCACCAAAAAAAAAAAATGCAAACT